TCATGATCGGCGCTCCGGTTTGGAATGTTGGGTGATTTTCACTGTGATTTCGGAAATGTCACTTTTACCCCGTGACAGTGTATAGCCTAAGAAATTCATAATTATAAATAATGCCACATTTTTTCACCTAATATATCCTAATATATAAATAAAGAAATATTGTACATCCATATGTACAAACATAGAACTTAGGTGCAATATTCATTTGCATCCTAACTTTTGCAATAAAACTAGTGATACTGATTAAAAATCCGAAGTCGGTCCCAAAGAGTTGAGCTTTTCTGATGCTATTTTTCACTTAATAGGTTTACAATTTGCTTAGTTCTTTTTAAACCCGACTTAATGTTATTTGGTTACTATCAATTGTTCAATGTATTGAAGAACCGATAATTAGTCAATTCTAAGCTTGAAACGAGAATCACTTTTAAACATCGACTAGCTTGTCCCACAAAAGTGCGAGCCGTGGTTCTACCTGCCCATCCCCATGGTCTTCGAGCCTTGACCGCCCGTATCACTAAATATAAACAACCATTTATGAAATTTTCAATATCACGCCATTTCTTGTACCAATATTTACGTAATTGTACCAATCTAGAAAATGTTATAAAAAAATAGTTTAAATTCGATATTATTTTAGTTATAATACTAAAAATTCTTAAGAAATTTGAACTTAATTTTGAATCATCTTTAAACATTAATTTGGTATAAAAATTAGGTTAAAAAAATGAGTTATGTAATTGAAAATACGAATAACATGATAACATCTGAAAGTAGATTAAAAACTATTTCTAATAGAAAGTGTATTTTATGTGTGGTAAGATATGTTTTATATATCATTTATTGTTAAAATATTAAATGCTAAAATATTTAATTTTTAGGATGATAATTTTATCGACCTCAAAGTAAAATCTATATATACAAGTTAAATTATTATTTCCTTTTTAAATTTCTAATATGTTTAATTTTATTAGATTACACAGAAAAAAGTTGAAAGACTTGGTTATTCAACATTATTGGCAAATACCGGTCAAGAGGCAATTAATATTCTCCAATCCGAATTTGAGTCACTAAATTTTAATAAATCAAATCCTTATGTTTTAGAAGATAAAATGAAGCCATTCAACATCTCTTTAGTTCTGATGGATTGTATGATGGTAAAGTTTTATTTATAAATTTTTCTAATCTTAAAATCAATTTCTAACGTATTATATATATATATATATTATATTATATTATATACGGTATTATAATTAGCCTGAGATGTCAGGTTTTGATGCTTCAATCGCAATTAGATCAATGAATTCGCAAATTTCAAATATTCCAATTGTTGCATTGACATCTTCAGAGACAAAAGAAACATTTATTAAATGCATTGAATCAGGAATGAATGCCTGTCTTGTAAAACCATTAAAAACTAAACAGTTTAGTGAGATCTTAACTCAATGGGATAGAAATAATATATTTTAAAATTTATTTTGGTTTATTTTAATTTATTTAAAGTTTTTGTATATTATTTTGGCAATATAGAAAAACAAAGTTTAAATTATTTTATAATACATATCCTATCTATAAAAAGTTTTTGCTAACTACAATATCATCATTTAATAGATTTAAATAAGACTATGTTATTTTAAACTTGCTTTTAAGATGCATCGAATTAATTAATTATTTATCAAACTAGACATTGCGGCTTCGCCACCCAATTTTAATAAATAATTATTAATTAATTAATTAATTACATCAAATAGCACATTCAATTGAATCGATTCAATATTACATTTTTAATGCTAATTTTTAAATTGATGTTTTCATTTAGCTCCTAGTCTCATTTTATTATATTAGAGACCGTTCTCAAAATGGTTTTCTAGACCTCGTAAAGGAGAGGAAAATGAAGCTTACGAAAGTTAATCTTTGAACAAGGCTGATGACTAAGTCAGCCCTATTAAAAAACTAACTTTGAATAAGGGTAGCTGCTGGCGTCCTGTTTTTGACTAAGCAAACGATTTTATAGTCCTTGCCTTTCTCAAACATTGCACTTAACCAATCATTTGTAAGAAGGCGAGATGGCGAATAACCATACACTCTGTGTGATTTCGAAAAAAAAAATGGTTTATATACACGTGTTTATTGACCAATATCAAGTGTAGCTCATGGTTGGCAATTGGGGTGTTAGATGCCAAATGATTTACAACCATAGTTCGCATATATTGTTACTATTGATGGGAGAGCAAAATAAATATAGGGTCCAATTTAGCTTCAATAGTAAACTGGATATATAATCTAAAATTTATATCGGGGTTAATAAACAAAAGGGAGAACCAAGCACGATGGCTTATATTATAGATTTATGCACGCGAGATCAGGTAATTTATCAATTTAAGGAATCCAATCACTATTAATTAATAATGACGGATTTAATTAAGATTTAATAAATAATAAGTCTAAGGAGTTAAATTAACAGGTATCACAAAGATAACAATAACGAATTTTAAAGGTAACGTAATTACAATTAACAATGCAAAACTAACAATTGAGAAGTCGATTCTTTTTAACACTTAAAGACACCGAAGTCTGAACTTTATTCAAGTGTGAAAAGGCACTCTTTTTATATCTTCATAATACCATGAAAAATA